CTCAGTTTGTCATTAAATCCTTTTTCAGTTCACTTTATTTTCATTTCAAATTCAAACTGTCCAACATGGAGTCGACGTGTTTTTAGCGACTCCAACTCTGACTTCTTTTTACCCAAAAATCTGCCTAACTCGGACTCCACAGCCCTGGTTTCAACGAAAAATGCTGTTTTGAGAGTAACAGCCCTTCTGAGCTAACGCCTCTTTGGACTAAAAAAAATTTATATGAATTAATACAGTTTTATCCTTTTTAATATAAAATTGACTGACAATTTATTATTTTAGATTCATCTTTCAGTATGGAATGAAGTGCGATTTATAACATACTGAAAGTATGCATAGGAAAAGCATTATGTATCAGTTATACTGGGTCACATATTCTTGACTATACCTTTTTGATGACAAAATGCCTCCAGTGACATTTTGATGACCTTTGGCTTCATCGAATATTCTTCCCGACTATCCATAAATATTACTGAATTGTCAATCTGTAATTTCCTCCATTTTTGCAGTTTTTATTGTAATCATTTAAAAAAAAGACATGATTTTTCTTCTCAAAAGTCATTGTCAAACCATTGTTTAGATTAAGACACAATAACACGCCGAATAAATACCAATTCAGAAATCAAACAACAAAAATCAGCGTTATATTTACAAAGTTTTCACAGGACTAGTTTCGATGGTTTTACCGAACCACCATCTTCAGGAGAACCAACAGATGGCGCCACTTGCTTATTCTTGTCCAGGCTTTCTTATCTTATCTAATCATTATTTCCTATCTTGTTCATTTGCGGTTTTGCAGCTGAAGATGGTGGTTCGGTAAAACCATCGAAACTAGTCCTGTGAAAACTTTGTAAATATAACGCTGATTTTTGTTGTTTGATTTCTGAATTAGCATTGTTTAGATAATAACCTCCCAGCATTTTTTTTTTTGGTTTGTTTTATATGATTACTTGCAGTAGCAAAAATTGTAAGCTTTATGAGCATTTTCCCCCCAATTCTTCCCCCCCCTTTTGTATAGCGTGCAATTCTTTTAAAGTAAATTTGAATTTTCTGAATTAATTTTTTGTTAATTTTTGCCTTTGGCACTTACTTTAAATCTTTTATTTCTTGGTGCCATAAAATTATTGTGAAGAATATGTGACGAGTATATTGATAAGTAAAAAAATCCTTAAAATAATTTTTTTAACTTATAAATTATAAAAAAATTGATATTTTGGAAAATTTAAAAATTATATTTCAGTATAATTTCTTCGTATTAATCACAATCATGTTTTGTAATGAGTTGTCAGAATATTCTATAAGTTGACATTTGTATCAGTGGCTAAGTATAAGAAAAATGAATTAAGAGATTAAAATATTATGATTCCTTTTCTGAAAATTGGATTTTTATACAGTACAGAGATTGGAACTTTAATTCTGGATTTTAAATCATCAGTCTGAATCTTGTAAAAGTTTAGAGTAGATTTAAGGGTGCCCCTTGGATTATCATACGCACGCAAAATAATAACAACAATAATACAACTTAACGCTAATGTGATTTGTGGACTTTTGGAGCATGGTGAGAAACATAATCTCAGTTTTTATGAAGAAACTTCTTCATATATTGACTTAATTTACAAGTGGTGGTTTGTAGTTAATGTTGAAAGTCCTTCGAAAGGAATACACCTTAAAAATACTTCTTTATCAACCTTCTAACGTGGTAAACCACGTGGTGAAGGTGTAATATTTTTGAAAAATTTATTTACTGTTTGGACATGTGGAAAGATTCAAGTAATACTGGGGTTTTAAAAACAGAAATTCGCACAGCTCTTATCCATACCACGCACGCCTTATTAGACATGGCAAATTACTGCATAAATGAATTAAAATTCAAATAGCTTTTAACTGGGAAAATGCAAACTGATTGTTTGGAAGATCAATTTGGCAAATACATAATGCTTTCTAGGTTACAGTAAGTATTTGAATCAAAATACAAACTTAGAATGCAGGATTCCTTGCCCCTTAATTCAAGTGTGTATAACTATGCGTTGAAAATTTTGTATTTTGTATATTTTTGTGAGGGAAGTTTAAGTTGATCTTACTCAGTAAATAATGAGGAATCGTTTTTCCACAGCGCAGAAACGTGTAATAATTAAGTACAAAACTACAGATTAAATTGGAATATAATAATAGCTTAGCATCTTCTTGCACTAGTTGAATACAAAGACAATTTTATGTCACTTTCTGTGTTTGAACAGTCACTCGACGCCTACTCGCACTGGTGAGCAATGAGTTTTTCTTGTCAGGTGATGCCCTTTGGTGGCTGCAGAACTTACTGATACCACATTTTTTTTTTGTTTGCTTCTTGCATATTAACTTTGCTGATCTCCATTTCAGGTTATTTCTTACAAAGTTTATTTCCAGTACTGTAGGGCCCACCAGCGGCTGAGTGGTAAAGCCACTGAACACTGGTAGTTCGGTCAGAGATTCAAATCCCTCAAACGGGCTGGCTTTATGGGCGTTTTCATGTGTTCCCCATGCGTAACATATATACGAGCCAGTTTCCCTTATAAAGTCCTCCACTGCACAAATAAATGCAAACATAAATGTTTTGCAGCTTTTAATATATAGTTATAATAGTATCATTTTAGAATCATTATCATAAATTAAAACTGCTGTAAAATGTTCTTAATGCTTTTTTAATGGATATTTTTTAGAAATATTAAAAACCATGAAAATCTATTATGACTAAGAGTATCTAAATGCATAATTTAATTATTTGTAACTAACTCCTCACCCTTAGATGTTATCTTACCATGTTAAGGTGAGTTATCTCTTTTCCTAACTCTTATTGTGTGTGCAAAATAAAATACAAAAATGTCAAAATTAATGTAAAAATTTATTCATCACATCTTTAAAATAATACAAAACAACTTATCGTCTCCGGTACTTCAGTGGCTTATTGAAACTTTATATTAAATACTGTATATTAACTGGATTACAACTTCAACGAATCTACACAAAGCTATGACTGTAACTGGGACAGTCAAAGTGCAACTAACTTTCAGTGCTTAACCAGTGTCAGGCATTCATGTCTGTTCTGATCAGTAGCTTTCAGTCTGTAAGCAAGCAACTGCAGTGGCAACAGCCAAGCTTCTGTTATGAGTCATGCTGATTATTATTTTATTTCACAGTTTAATTTATGCCACTTGACATAAAATTTGATATATACTTCTGGACTGAACAAATACATGATGAATGGCAAAAAGAAAGAATCGATATAAAGTTAACTGTTAGTACAATTTAAATAAAAATCCACTAATCTTCTTTAAAATATATAAGAATATTATAAATATAAATGTTTCCAGAAATTTTATAATTTAATGCTAATTACTTGAAAAAAAATGGTGAAGACAATTTTATTCTTGAATATGTTTTATAATTAAGATAAATATTATGTTTAATAATAAGGTATCCTACTTACAGATTTATTTTATTTTTACAAATTACAAAAATGAAGTTTGAGTGTAGATGATTGGTCCATAATTTTGTTTCATTGACAATCCTTAAAAATCCTTAAAAGTACTTGATTTCCATGTAAAGAAGTGTGTATGAACACTGAGGGTTTGGAATCAAATCACAGATAAACATTGTAAAAAGAACAATTATACTTAAAATTTGATGTCTGAATGTTCCTATCGGAAAGTTAGAGGTAAGGGAAGAAATGCAAATTCATACCTCTAACTAAATGTTCAGACTCTAGCTTGCATTAAAAATTGGGAGGAAGCATAAGGAGTTAGATTTCATGTGTTTTAGCTCTTGCCAGATGTGAAACTCATTAATATACAGTCAAAAGTCTTTAATCCGTACTCGTCGGGACTTCGGCGATTCCGGATTATCGGTTTTTCTGGATTATAGATCATCAGTTTAAATCTGGTAAGATGGCATGCAGAAATTATAAAATTAAAAATATGAAACCGTAATTTATGAAATAAAGAGCAATTATGATCTAATAAAGGGTATCTAAATTTACAAAAAAAAGCTTAATTTTTATTTGTTTACTTTATTAAACATTTTCTTTCAACGCGCACATGCTAACATGTACATACGCATAGTCGAAATTAGAAAATTGCAACCAGAAAACTATTTGATGTGTATTCGTGATATTTATAATGACGAGGAATTTGATTTAAATCATATCAAAGACGGAGTACATCGAGATGAAATATCACATTTAGTAAGGAATTATAAGCTGAATAAAATAAAAACATCTGCCTTGAAGATAAGGATAGTGCTGACAGATCAACTTCCAGTTCATTGCGCCGTCGCGGCGCCCCCCCCCCCGGGTGAGCAGCGTTAAATTGATAAACAGATTTAGAATGGTTAGAGAAACAAAGGATATGCCTTTATCCATTTTTTTGCAGCAATTCCACTTTTTGTTTGATGGACATTGAAACATGCTTTCGCTTTGTAGATCCTTTGCAGCTCCAGAATCGGAAATTCTTTTTGACATAATCGAAAGTTCAAGCTTACTTTTATAAAATTGCTCTAACAGTCTGCAAAAAATAATGAGCCGTATCCCATTAGAAGATTAAGGAACAACGCAATCTGCAACATTAACTGAAATAGATAATTAGATAATTTTAGCTTAGCTTATACCGTCCGTTATACATTAAACGCGCATGCGTAAACGTATATGCGCATGAGTAAATATATTATGCGCTTACGCATGCGCCGAAAGTTTGTAGCTTTGAGGTCCGGATTATAGATCATTAAAGATCTATAATCCGGATTAAAGACTTTTGACTGTACTAAGTATGTTTCTGAACTTTACATCTGGCAACAAATGCATTAAATATTAGCTAGATTGATATAAAAGTGCTAGAATATGTCATTAAGTTTCATGTAATTTTACATGCTAAAAGATAGTTAGTTTAAATATATTTGATTATATAGCTGTTTATTTTTATTATGAATATTTTGTACATTTAAGTTTTTTTTTTTTTTTTTTTTTCCCTCAGGTGGATTTTTTTTACTTCCGTTCCTGTGGTTTGTCAATGCAGTATGGTTTTTCAATGAAGCATTTCGTAAGAGCCACTATGAAGAACAGAAAATGATCAGAACATGTGAGTTATATTTTGTTATTATCTTTTTATATGTTATTTTTAATTCAATTTTTATATGTTATATTTAATTCAATAGACAAGAGGTTATAAAATCATCCTAGAAAAGTTGTGCTGTAGCTTTCTTTTAGTTAATCTATAATAGTAATAGAAAGAGTGTATGTGTCATAATACTAAAAGAAAGAGTATATGTGTCATAATACTAAAAGAAAGAGTGTATGTGTCATAATACTAAAAGAGTGTATGTGTCTGTGCCTTCATGGCAAAGTAGCTTAGAGATACAGAATTCAGCAAGCAAGATATGAAAATAGTCAACATAGAATTTAAATTTTTGTACCAATTAGGTAGATCAGAAAATGAGTCTTTCCAATAAAATTTATCCGGAATTTGATTATAAATTTTCAGTATTTTTGGCTATTTTTTAAAAGCAAATCCTTGATTTTGATCAGTATATTATCAGTATCTTGAAATTTCAACTTTGAGAACCTGTGACTCTTACCATCTTGAAATTTTTGCAAGTTAAAAAAATTAAGTGCTTATATATTAACAAATCACCTTGGTAGAAGTCACCAAATTTTGCAAAACGCATATTACACATTTGGCAATCATGGGCAATAACCATTCTTCGAGTAAGCTTGTAAAATTTCCTTCATTCAAGGAAAGTCACAATTTCATATATGTTCTTTTCATTTATTCCTAGTTCGAAAGATTTTTATAGACAAATTCTGATTTAAAAAATAAATAAATAAATAAATAAACTCAATTTTAAAATATGTATTTGTGGAATTAGTTTGCAGCAGAAGAAAACTGTGGTATAATTTCTGCAGTAGTACAGTGTTTTGCCACAAAATATCTGAAAGGGAGCAGTTGTTTTAACCCTTTCAGTCCTAATGGGCACATACGCCTCAGAGATTAGATTTCAAGGCCTATTGGGTAAATAAAGCCCACTTTTAAATGGGTTTTTAAGTTTGCAGTGTTTTTAAAGAATTAAGGAACAAATATATGGCCAGAGATACCTGACAACACTTTTAAATTGCAAATCGCGTACTTATGTTCTTGAGTATGCCGATTACTTAAATTTCAATTTGTCTATTTTATTTAATTTTACAGTAAGTACTATTATATTTAAGGCATGTTTAGTATGAAATAGTTCTTATTAAGTAGTAATTTAACTTTTTTAATGTCAGATTTAAGAAATTTTGAATAAATTCCTTTTGTGGGATATATTGTCCCAATCATGGTTAGTATGTCCCATCAATGATAAATTTACTACTTGCTGATATTTTATGTTAATGAAACGTACATGAAAATTTTTGTTGTATATGAACTGGTACATGTGGCAGAGTTTACGTTTTGTAATATTCACATTATACATTACCACAAATTTTAGTTTTGTTTTCTGAGAATGGGTAATATCCTAGACAATTGGGACAAATAGTCCCAGTTGACAATACGATTGGGACATATTGTCCCAGGAGATTTCCAGGAAATGGGAGAAGTTAAAAACTTTAAACTCGTATTACACTTCTTTTAGTATGTCAACATTAAATTAAACTACTTTTCATAGTTAAATTTTAATCATGGGAAAGTCGGGTCGAAAGGGTTAAACCTGCTTTTAAAGCAATCACCATAAAACTCCACCAGAAGGAAAGAAATAAAAACCAGCTAAGTAGATAATACTTAATTAGAATGTAAAATATATATGTAATAGAATGTTAATCAGAGACAAAAAGTAAGAAATATAGAACTAAATCCGTAAAGAACTAAAGAACTGTCTTTTCCACTGTCTGTTACAATATTGCACATACTTTACAGAAGTTCAGCTTTTGAATTATTTCTTCTTCTGTCAGTATTCTTAATAACTCTATTCTTGATATGAATTCTTTAAAATAATAGCATTGCAGCTTGATATACATTGGTCAAACAAAATATGCTTTAAAAGTCCACATCAAAGATAAAACTTGCATTGGGGAGAGGGGGGGAACAGAAAAAAAGAAAACAAATAAATAATTTATTGGATTACGTTGATTCACAAACCTCAGTTCAGCTTGATTCTGCTACAGTCATGCAAAACACTTCTACAACTGACGAATTAGATTTCCTTGAAGCTTTTGGTATCCATAAAAATCTTTCTATTAAAGAGATTTTATATACTTTAATTATTATTTTAACCTGTTTCCCTCCCACCATCTATATACAGCACAATTCTTGATCCAATTCCATTTTCAAAGAAGACGCCACTTTTTTTCCCTTTATTATAGAAAGTTCTTTGCTAGCTATAAAAATTATTCATCTCTCTGCGTTAATCTCTTTGATTTAGCTGCTGCTGAAGTAGGCAATAATGTTCAGTTGCTGACAGTGCTTCTGCTAAAATAAGATCATCATCAATTAATTTTTTCTTTGCTGTCATTGATAACTCCATTTGCACAATGATGATGTGCTGGATTTCAAAGTGTATTCTCAGGCTTTTCATTTATTCACAGTAAATTGTGAAATTTCCCCTATAAACAGCTTCATGGAAAATTTTGGACAAAATTTGAGTTGTGAATCAACTGGTGTATAACTTAGGAATAAATATTTTAAACAAATTAATAATAATTGCCAGATAATAATAATAAGAGAATAATTAATATATAATTGCAAGATATAAAATTAGGCAAACAGCAATCTTAGTTTGGTGTAGATTTTGAATGGATGATTTGAGGGCAGTCCGACACAAGTCACTCTTCTTAGGAACACACACAAATATAAGAGCACAACTGTTTTATATCGAAAGCAATAGGTGGTGCTAAACGAGAATGAACATAGTGCCATCTGTTGAGGAAGCTACTAATAAAACAAGAAAAACATCTAAAATCGTTAGGAAGATCTGGATAGACTTAATGGCATTGATAAATTAGAAAAATATTTGTTATATGTAAATAAATGTTCATTTTCAAGTTTATGATAAAGAATATTAAAAAAGAGGAAAAATACATAAGCTAACCATATATTTTTGTGACATTTTGTCACTAAATTAAATTAAAAATTAGAAAAATAAAAAATCTCAGTGAGAGAGTCTAGTTATTTTTTAAAGCTTTGATTGCACGTAAGTTTTGTGCAGTTGGACAAATTGATTTTGACATTACAAGCATAAATATTTTGTCATTCTCTGTCTCTTTTATGATACAAATGGCATATTTTACATTTTTATAAGTTAAAAAATTTGATTAAGCTTATTTGTAGGTAACAGGAAGAGAAACATAGCATGTCAGAGGTTACTTATGAAGACAATTTACAAACAGAGACTCCTCTTGAATTTTAATCATGAATTATTTTCTCAAAGCATGATAGAATCAACACAGAAATTATATTACGTTTTGCTCGAATAGTTCAAAAGTTAATACTATATCTTTGGTAAATTTATTAACAAATAGAAATCTTTTCTTTATGTGCATTTTTTGTCAGTACCATTTAAAGTTTAACTCTCTGTGCTGCTTTTTGAATCTCTCACGAAGACTTGTATTTAAACAGCATTTATTAGCTAAATTTATATAAATACTTATTTTAGTCTCTATTTTCATAAACTTGCATTCATCAAGATGACATTTACATTATTAAAGAAAGCAAAATATCTTAAATTATAAGTTAGTATATGCCAAGTGACAAAAAAAATCTCACGACTGGATTTAGCCAGTCATCCTGCTCAAAGGGTTAAAATGGTAAAGTACTGTGATGGAAATTCAAGATATTTGCATTGCACTGCACTGCTAGTCATTTGCATTTATTTTTTTTTTTTTTTTTTTTTTTTTTTATTTTTTTTTTTTTTTTTTTTTTTTTTTTTTTTTTTTTTTTGCAGATTTAAACTAAAATACATAGAAATGTTTCTTAATTAATTATTACTGACAAGATTAAAAAAAATATATGAAAAGTATAACATTAATAATACATTATATATTTACTGAACGGCATTATTATAATATACTTTCATTATGTTGTGGCATGCTAGTAAAAAAAAGAACTATTTAAAGAAGGAATTTTAAGTTGTAGAATATGTTGTATTTCTTGTTCAAAGATACTTTGTCTTTGTACTATTAATACTAAACTTTTTTCAGATGTGATTCGATCAGCAATAGGAGCCTTTATATGGTTAGCGGGTCTTATAGCATGGATTGTGGTGTTTCAGATGAATCGGGCTGAATGGGGAGAGTTTGCTGATTCTTTGTCATTTATTATTCCTGTAGGAATACCATAATATTTTATACCACAATAATAATGTAGATTTTTTTAAAAACTATATGACCTTCCTTCAGAATTCACAAGAGTAAAGTAAAAATTACATGTTCCTTGCTATCATAAACTCTGAAAAATTCTTATGTAATATTTCTTTTATTGACTTCTAAACTTTGGACAAGATCTAAACAAAAAAAATTAAGATTTCATTGGATTTAGAATTTAATTCTATGTGCTGATTATTTTGTGCTAAAGATTCATATTATCTCTTCACTGGATCAAGATATGCTTGTTATATTATTTTCTGCTTATAAAAAAATATGGCATGTAATTATGCTTGAAGTATCTTAAGCTGAAAAATTGTATTTTATAAACCATTGTGAATTTATAGTAAACAAGGAACTATATAACTTTTTCACAAAATTGGGATGGATAATAGTGTAGATGATATATCAGTTACATAATACATGAATTTTATAATTCTAAATGTAACAAAGCAAGACCTTCGTAAAACAAGCTTTTCATATAGAAAGTTATGTACATTATGTTTTCATTTTGTATTTCATGTTTTTTTTTTCATATTGTTCATGGTGTTTTTTGCTTCTTCATAAATTGTTTTAATTTTTTACCGTACTTTTTACTCACCCTATTTTAATACTTGATTAATTGGTTAAGACAAGCATAATTTATTTGATAATAGAAGACAATATTCACTTTGATACCATATCCATCAATAAGATGTTAAGAAAGGTATTTTGTTGTATTTGGATAAAGGTGTGTAAAAATATAATTTGTAATTTAATAGTTAAGTGATATTAAAATGGAACAATTTATCAAGTAGCGTACTGGAATTTAATGAGTTTTAAAATGGAGAATGTTAGGATATTAAAACTTTTTATTAAAGATATTAAGCTTAGTTCTGAATTAGTTCAATATATTTTTCATGTTGTTGTATTTATTATTTAACATTATAAATCATAATGTCAACAAAATCATCCCAATGTTTTAACTTATTTTTGTAAATAAAATTTTGTAAGCAGAGATTTTATTTATTTTAAAATAGGTTGTTTATAAATATCACTTCTTATTATTTTTTGCCTGTTTTGACCTAAAACAAGAAAAACTAAGATGAATTTTAGAAAGTTTTAGAGAATTTCTCAAGAGACGAATTTTATAGATGTCTTAGAATTTTTATTGAATTTTATAGATTTAAAGGGTTTTTTTCCTGAAATATTTTTGCTATTATTGTTATGCTTTCAGTGCTAAAACTTTTCAACAATATGTGTAAAGAGAAATACAGGACTGAGTATTCTGCAAGATGAGCAAAAATTTTCAATAAATTTTAACTTAATGAGTGAGGTCTTGCAATGCAAGTAGTACGTATATGTTTTATCTGCTGAACATCATGTGAACACAACTGAGCTGATGGTTCTTATCTTATTACTGCAGGGTTATGGGTTCTCATCTCCAGGGTTCAATCTCACTTTGCATGTCTCATTTCTGTAAACATCTCATTTGTATAGTGAATATTAACATCTAGACTGCCATGTGCTTTTTACAATAGCATTGTGACTGTGAATGTATGCATGAAAGGCATCTATTTTTTAATTTTATGTGATGTGTAAGATTATTCTTTAGTAACTTTACTGCAACAATGCCCCGCATGAAGACGAAAGTTGAAAAGGATGGTGATAAGAAGAAACAAGTGATTATGGTGGAAGTTAAAAAGGAAATCATCAAAAAGCGTGAATAAGGTATATGGGAAGCCCAATATTGCAAATTTTTGTAACATGTTTTTGCTGTTAATAATTCTCATTTACCTGAATCAGAACAAGTCCCCAAATTATTATCGTGGCAAGGGGTGCTAGACTGCACCTGTTGTTGAGCACCATGCAAGTGACATGTGTGACTTTGTTCAGTTCTGCCCAAATTCTGAAGGAGAGCACCTCGGGAAACAGGCCCTCTTCTCCTACCACTAATTTTTCGAGGACTTTCGTCTCGCTGCATAGTTTGAATGCCCCATGCTGCGCAGACACTATACATTTTCAAACATCCATGCCTTCTCCAGGATTTGAACCCAGGCCCTTCAGTATGGCAGTTAGCATCGCTAACTACTTCCCATCTGGGCGGCATAACATATTTACATCAATGATGTGCACAGTGTTTTAAAAAAATGGAGAAAAAGGGACTAAATGCAGCAAAAGGTATCACGAAATATTAAAGAAATGGCCACAGGCTCTGGGAGATGCAGAAAAGTTCTTGTGTAGCTAATTGAGAAACAATTATCTGGTAATAACTATCTGTGAGAAAGCAAAAGCCTTATATACTGATGTCAGAAGTAAAGTGCCAGGTACGTAGACAAAAACTGAAGGATTTTAGGTGAAGCTGGCAATGGTTTGATAAATTTAAGAGAAGCAGCAGCATCTATAGTGCTGTAAGGTTAGATGGAGAAGTAAGAAACTGCAAGGTCGGATGCAAAGGTAGCTAAGGCATTTATTGCTGAGCTCCAAAACCTGCCATAGCAAGTTTCAACTAATATGAAATGTAGCTTTTTTTGGGAAAGATAGCAAAGAAGACCTGTATTATAGCAAAAGAGAATGCAGTGTCGAGGCACAAGCTCATGAAAGACCATCTTGCCCTCTTGTGTTCTATTGTAAGTGAGAATTTTGAAGCCAAGTCCATATGTATGAATCATTCTGAGAATCCATGAATTTTTTAGGAATACAAGATGAAGAACAACAAGTTTAATATGTCAGAGTCCAATGGCAAAGCTTGGGTAACTCGTGTGTTGTTCATTGAGGTAATCAACAAGGCCTTTCATTCTGCAAAGAAGAAATCTGTCCCTCAGATTCTTGCTGGCTATGTATACTATTCCTGTGTATCCTTCATCGACTGTTTTTTTTTTTTTTTTTTTTTTTTTTTTTACAAAAATTTGCCAACCGTGGACTGTGTGGTTCAGAACAGTCCAGTTCAATTTGTCCTTTAGATGGGTAAGAAAGGCTCTTCATGCTTATGAAGAATATGCTTGTATTCAAAAATCCTTATCTGCTTTTTATGGACATTCCTTCATATAAAATGAATCATCAGATAAAAATCATAAAAGATTCTTGAACAAATATGTAGTTATTTTGCAACTTTTTTGCAAACAGTATTAGAATAATGTGAGGTCTGCAAATAAAGTAATGAGATTTTCTTTCTGGTAACACTTTTCTTTATATTTAAAGTTCAAATCCAATCAATCTCAAGTGCTGGAACTGAGATTAGGCACTGACTGAGTCATGCCAGATCTCATAGATTGCAATTATGATTCAAAGCTGAAAACTGTAAAAAAACAATTCCGGGGTTTTCCAGTTTAAGGAAATTGCATTACCAGGTAACAAAACACCCATTTATTGTGACTTACCATATATTCCTGAGCAATTTTGTGAGAAAATCATATCATTACATAACTTACCCCATCTTGGTATTCGTGTCAAAGTTAATTCAGTCTTGCACAAACTGGGCTGGAAACAGTATCCTATGTGAGGAGGCAAAAATTACCCGTCATGCCAAATCCTCAGTAGGAAAATTTTGAGACCAGTTACAGAGGTTTGATCATGTGCACCTCAAATTCGTTGGTTCTCACCTGCTTTCTCAAAGAAATTATTATTGTTTGACAATGGTAGATAATATACAGGATGGTAAGTAGTACCCTCAGTACCAGATATAACTGCAGTTACAATAGCATGAACATTTTATATCTTCAAGGAGGATCTTAAGGTGACAACTGCTGAATTAGTGTACAGAAGTATCTGTCTTCCAGGTGAATTTTTCAACCTGACAGCAGTTAACCCATCACCCAGGCAATTTGCAGAGAATTTAAAATTCCATTTTGCGAGCATACTATATGACCCAAATTCCTGTCATGGGCAGAAAGCAATTTTTTTCCATTCCTCTAATATGTACTTTTACGTGTTTTTCCGAAATGATGGTATGCAGAAACAACTTCAGGTTTCTTGGGATGTACCATACAAAGTTTTACTGAGACAAGAAAATATTTTTGACTTGGATATTAAAGGCAGCAGACAAACTGTCTCAATTGATAGACTCAAAACCAGCTTTTTTCATGGCAGGCAACTGTAATTCTTCTCAAAGTGCCAACACACTGACAGCATTGCCAGTTCCTCTTCAGAAAGTCAGCACATCAACATGCTGTGGATGACCTGTTCAGCTCCCTCAACAATGCACTACTTTCATCGACAGTGCGAAGGGAATGTGCAGCAATGAAGGAATTTTCCCAGTTGAACTACTTTGCCATTTGACTAGGAATTAGTTATAAAGCAATCTTGTAGCCTGGTTTGCTGGATGGCTTCAACATTCCTTCCTGCTACTACATTTACTCTGTGCTCTGTAGTGTGAGATCACGCTGGGTCTTTCAGCTTAATATTGTCTGCTGCTACCAAATCTTATCAATAATGTGTTAATTTTCCTTTTTGCTAAATGACTTACATGAGCAAGTGATGTGGTACAGGCATCAGGGCATAATCCAATCATGTAATATGGTAAATTGATAGCAATTATGACTACCATTTCAAAAAGTGGTAATTCAGAGTACTGGAATAATCTAGATGCAGAGAAAAATACTAAGTCAGAAAATTCTGAGCAGTTGATTGATTGATGAAGTTGAATTCCAGTCGCAGAACCGCTGAAATAGTAAGTTGGAGAAGCTGTGATGATGTAGCAGTATTGTAAAGAGCAAGAAAATTTCTAATAGGCTGAAAGTAAGGAGTTAAGAAATAATGCTTCTGGATTGGTGTGGGGGGGAATAATCAGATTAATTTCAGAGCTATATTGAATTAAGTATAATATAAAAAATAATTGAACCAAATAAAGAAAAATGTGGGGAAGGGAGAAATTAATAACGTTGAGAACTAGATAGATGAGTTGAAGGCATCAGTGGCTGTTGAAGATGAGTTTAAGTTGTCAGTTATAAGCAATTAATTAAATCAGGTAGCAAAAATATGAAGTGTATTAAAAAAAAAAGGGGGGGAGTGAAGGAGCACTGCTTCAGGTCATTTTTCTGTTTACACTGTTGTGGTGGTTATAATGCGTTTGTGGAATACTTTCATTATTCACACTGAACTCATTTCTAAAAAATTCTTTTTGTAACTTTTGCCATTAATTTAGCGGTAATTTTATATTTGTCCTGGATTGCACTGTTTTCTTAGTATAAACCACCTACTGGCTGTTATTTGCCTCACTGTTGTGGTTTGTAGTACTTGAAACTTATTAAGATATGTTTTCATGCCTAATCCCATACAGGAGAAGCATAAGTGATTATGGGTCACAACATGGCTTTATATACAAGTAATTTATTACCTACAGATAAAACTGAGTTCTGTGAAATTAAGAGGAATAATTTAGCTGTCTCTCAAGTAGTCCAGCACTTCAAAATAATGTGTGTTATGTGGAGGTGTCGTGTAAGTCTTTGAACACTTAGGTATTTAACCTGTTTGGCACAATGGATGGCAGTATTATACATAGTAACCGTTATGTTTAAATCCAGATTTCTTTTCTGGTGAAGAGTGTCTACATAGCTATTTTCCATTTTTGAAGCCAAGACTCCAGTGAATGTATATGTTGTCGTAGTGCTTGGATGAGTGAATTCAGAGATACATTTTGTATCATCAGCATATGGCTAGTGTTGTGCAATATATCATTCGTATAAATTAAAAATAATATTGGGCCAATGAAATTTCCTTGGAAGATGTTCCTGAGTATTTGACGGCGTGTGGAGTAACAATTGTAGCAAAGGAATAAAATCTATCTTTAAGGTATGAATTAATGATGTGTATGATGTATCCTGGAAATAGCAGAGTAATTAGTTTGTAAAGTAACCCATTTGGCCACACATGATCAAAAGCCTTAGAAATATCAAGAAACAGTGCAGCAGTGATTTGTCGATTTCGGAGACCTTTGGAAATAAGCTCTGTCAATCGGAATCCATGTTGTTGTGGTATAATTACATTCTTTGATTCTATAAATTCAGGCATTCTGTGCAGGATGACAGCCTAAGCGATCTTCTTAAGTGAGGAGAGAAGTCTGATTGGTCAATATGATGAAGGTTGTATTGGATTCTTTCGAGGCTTTAAGACTGGCACAATTATCACCATTTTCCATTGCACCATTGCTGAAGTTGGACTATAGTATTGATGATTTTAGTAAATTTGAACAAAACAAAGGTAACCAGGTATTATCCAGGTCAGTTTTTTTTCTGGTCTGCCTTAGTATAACTTAGAACTTCTGATGGTGTAACTGGAGGAATGTTGTTCATACATGGCTGTGTTAAAAACTGGTTAACTGTACGATTGTTACACTGTGTTCTGTGTGAGGGTGAGAGATGTTGTTAATGCCAAACTGAGAAGCTTAGCTTTCAGCTAATGACTCAGCTTTCTCAGTTTCAATGTAAGCAGTTCCATTATAGCCACTAAGGGACGGAATATTTGTGTAGCATCTTTAATATTTAGAAACAGTGCCCTAGATAGAATTATTATCACCAGAGAGCGACTATAAGTATCTTGTCCAATCACTTGTGCATGTTTTTTAATAAGGGACCTTACTTCATAATTGAGGTGGTTCATCAAATGTTTGTCGTCAGGGCAGAAAGATTGTTGCCAGGCTTTGTGTGCTCTGTTTCTTTGCTTAATCAGTTCTCCTAGAGCTGGATTTTAAATCATCTCATAGCTGGGACTTCAGTGCTGTTTTTATGGAGTGCAATTAAGTTCTGTGAAATCATTAGTTAAAATACACAACTCTGACTGAATTTCTGTATGGGATATAGGTGGATATAACAGTGAACGCACATGAATTGTGTGATGTGACCTAAATGTGCCTCTATGGCTATGGTAATATTGGATAGTGAGGAATGGAGCATTTTACTAATAGTAGGAGATCTCAATGGACATTTCCAGCAATGGCAGGCCTTCCTGCTGTTGAAGATCCAGTCGATGAGTAACATAATTGAGTCCCATGTCTTCTTGAAGAAGAATATCGAGACTATACTGGTGTATAAATTTCTTAAGTTCTTGACTTTTTTTTTCAACATTTGCGTTCCATGTGACAATTAAGAGAATTATATTACTCTTAAGTTCTACTATTAATACTACTATATCATTGCTATTAAGTTCAGAGACAATTTCAAGGAAAGTATGCATTTTGTCAATATCAGTAACACATGGTTAGGAAGTTTAGGCATAAATTTCTTAAAAGCTTTATTCATTGCAATTAGTTTATTTTCACCAAAGATTTGCTTAATTTCAGACATAAATTAAACAAAAATTCTAGAAAATCGGAGATTTATCCTTGATTATTTTATTGGTTTTGCTGTTGAGTTTATTCACATTATTTTTATTAGTGTTACATTAATCAAATTATCACCTACAATTTGTGCAGTAGAAACTGGTTCTGGATTGCTATTAATTTGACTGTTTTCTGTTTTGATCATTTAACATTTCGGCAAAGCTAATACAAGTTTGAGAGTATTATCTTTTCTAGTCTTGGTATTTCTTGACTTAGTAAATGCTGAACATCTACGATAAGAAGCAGGGTATCCTGTACTATCACACTTCATACTGGTTCATCTATTTTTCCAATATTGGGACAGTCAATGGTTCTATGAAGTAGTGAACATTTTACACATTTAAGCTCGAAATGACATTTCTCGGAGGAATGATGCACTTCTGACAGCTGTGAGACTGAAAAAAGCATCAAGTCTGTGATGTTGTAATTTTTTTTCAGATATTTCATTTTGGATGTCATTGATTAAGAAGAGATTTATACAAGCTTTAGTTTTCCTATGTGTTGAGATCTTTTTTGTATTAAGAAATCTCTATCTGTGAGTGCAACTGTAATTTTATTTTCATCAGTTGTAGTGGGTATAATCCATGGATGATGACTTTGGTACATTACACTTAGTATTTAATACATAATGTTCTGTGCATATTTCTTTGATTAGTATGCTGAGTGTCGTATGATCTTCTGCACTATAATGTAAGATTTTTAGATACTTACCATTTAACTTGCCATGGAATTAGGCTTCTATATAATGTGCCAGGATTTAACACGATGGGAGAATACCTGGATCTTTACTATCCTGTTGTTGCTGCAGAGTTGGAGCTGCTGGTGTTGCATTCTAATTTTTATCATTATTTTCAGCATTATATTTTTAAGGCAACAACTTTATTTTGAAGAGATAAGAGACTGCTTAATCTTATGCATTTTGAGATATTTGGCTGTTTTATTCGGCGACTTAAAACCTTCATTATCATTAGTCTTGTTCACATATACATCAGCAGTTTGAAAAATATTGGAAAGTATACTAGAGGTATATCTTTGCACTCGAGAGGTAGCTCTAACTCATCATGTGATTTGATGCCACACAACTCGAGAGGCGATTCTCACTCACTGTGTTATTTGATGCCGCAACTCGAGAGGTGACTGTCTGTTGATGCAAAAGTCTGTCGGTTGCAAACTTGGTTTGATGCGGGATCTCAATGTGCGGCTATAACAGTATACATTTAGTTTCTTCTAAGCGGGTTCCTAAGCTTTTTCTGTATAATCTTATGAAGTTTAAAATGATATCCCTTTCAACGGAGATAAAATTTTTTTATTTGAAATCTTTCCTTTTCTTTACCTCAGAGAAATGAACTCGGAAAAAAGCATCAAATGACATATCATTGTAATACTTGTCCGACAAGCTGGGCATACATCTTGGGAGTTGTTACATGAAATATCATGCACAGAAAAGTTTTATACATTAATTTGTGTATGTAATGATTTTAAGTTACTGGTAAGAAATGCATCTAAAAGGCTATGAGCGTGTGAGATTGTGTATCGGAAATTCTGAGATACGCTTTTTAAAAATATTTTGCGATGCAGCTGTTGAATTGAATTGTATGATTTAAATGCAAAGAACATGATATTTAAATAAATAAAGGTAACACACAAAACATTAAAAGAAAAGCCCCTTTGGGCGTAATATAAATTCAGAAAACGTTTAGGTTTTTTTTTTAAATTTATAGAACTATTTACTTTCTTGCATGAGTTAACACAAAATGAGAATGTCATGTGAAACTTTGACTACTTTGATAAATATAAGGAAAAGATAGTTTTTATGGTGTACAAAATAAATTGCACAACTTATTGAAACATGAAAAATATCTACTTTGAAACAAATTTTATTCTAAGGAAAATTCATTTTACAGAATTTACCAGTTGTAATGGAATGCAAAACTCAAAATTTGCTGGAAGTCAGAAGTATACAAAGACACAAATATGCTTTATAGTGCCACATAAACTAATAATAATAATAAATAATAAGTTAAATAATGGCACATCATGCTTTTTGAGCTAGATTTTGATGAAATGCTACATTTTTATGAAAGCCATGCTTAATAAATAAATATTAAAATCCATATTTTAAATATTTATATGATTATCATATTTATGCATTTATAAAAAGATGCATATAAGTATGAGGATTACAAAATCAAATTTCTGTTTTCATAATTTCTTATTACAGAAATGTTATATAAAGTAAATATTGCAGTCATGAAAAGTTGGAATATTAAGTAAACAAGTACGGTAATTTTGAAGCTTAACAATGAGGAAATGAAAGAGAATGCATGAAGACAGCAGAGCAGAAAACCGCAATTATAATGTATAAAAATTGTGCGTAGTAAGATAGATAATAACAGCAAAATAAACTCGACAATAGGACAAGCACCCAACTTAATTTTTTGCAAAAAGTGAAAACCTTAACAGTGTGTTCAGTATTCATTTAATTTGGCTTTAGCATTTAGCTTTACTTCCTTTAAAAAATTAGATCTAACTGCATTCTAAAGAATCTAAAGTTAAATATTTTTAATTACTTTTTTTCCAGTTGCAGTTAAACATATGCAAAGAGAATTTTTGAAAATATGAGTATCTTAACAGTAGGGAAAAATATACTTTGCAAATGCTTTTTTCTAAAAATTTCTAAAATTTTGGAAATTTTTTTTACATCAATTATGTGAAAAAACCAACAGACATAATTTTGCAAGATACAGTGTTTAACAAATACAGAAAATGGATGAGAAATTCCCGTTTGTTTAATTGTCTTAAGCATAATAAAATTCTTAAGGATGCTGAATATTGATAAATAAATGCCTAGGATAGAGACACGAGGAATACAATTTTAAGAGTCTATTCGATATACGAGCCTCATCTCTACAATTCACAGTTTTGTAAATAGAATTGTGACCCGTTACTTCAGTTTACTACATTTAAAAGCATTTTTGAATATTAAAGAAATAGCACACAAATTAAAAAGAGTATGCGTCAAGTGAGATCAGCCTTAACACACCTAACACTATCTTCTTTTGAGTTTGTCCTGTAAGCACAAGTACAGATATGCATGTTAGGTTTGGGCTAACATTTTATTTTTTACAAAGTGAATGAAAAGCATGCATTTTATTGTCGAATTACACCTTGAAACTGTACTTGATACTACTGTTTCATTGCTTATGCTATCTGTTGCTTTTTGAGTATCTAGCATCAAAATTCCTTATTTTCATATTTATTAGAGAGAAAGGTACATTTTTAAACATACACTGTAATATACAATACATTTGATTATTACTCTAAAGTTGATGGTGTCTTATTGTGGATAATTAATTAATTGCACTTATACATTACATATACAGGGTGTATAGGAAAGTCCCTTTAACCTGAACGTTCTTGCAAACAGAGAGAGCTACAGCTATGCAAGTAAGGTAAAGGTATAGTAAAGCGACTGCGCCCGACTTAATGCAAACGACAGCAGCACCCTTAGTGGCGAAATTTGGAAGATAGGCATTGCAAATCAAAAATGAAAAAGAGAACAAAATTTCTAATTAGAAAGATTTAGAGCATCAATTAATTAATACTTAGTAAGATAAACTCTCGCCTGTGTATCCAAAGATATTCGCAATTGATTGCTATGATTCTACTCTGCATAGTCACATTTCGGAAATGTAGCAGTGGGCAGTTGCATATTGTGACGTTGTACTGTACTGTAACGTCTGTAAAACTTTAATTTCTAATGCATTTAAAATTTTAGTTCGAAAGTTGTTGGAGTGCATTAATTGTGGACATCTTTCGGTATACAGGCAACAGTTTATTTTATCCGTGTGAACCAAATGTTTTTTCTTACTAATTAATTGGTGCTCTGAAACTTTCTAATTCTTCTCTTTTCGTTTTTGATTTGCAGTGCCTAGCTTCCAGATTTCACCACTAGGAACGCTGCTGACGTTTGCATTTGGTTGGGCACATTCGCCTTACTATACCATCTTACTTCACTTGTATATCTGTAGCTCTCTCCGCCCGCAAGAATTTTTAGATTAAAACAACTTTTCTCTGTACCCTGTATATTACACGAATATCCAATTTTATATAACACACAGTATTATCTACACTTTCTCATAACAAAGTTAGAAGTATTCCCTGCAGATATATAGGCAATAATATTGTGTAGAAAACAATCAAACAAATATACATTTTAATCTAGAGTGTAAAGGTGTTGCTTAATATTACATATTTGAGTGTTATATTAAAATAAATTAGTTTACTAAGTTCCTCCTCTGCAGTTGCCTAATTGTACTTAAGTTAGGGTATTTGGCAAATTAGAAATATTTTTAAATTGTTACATCAGGGACATAATATTAAAACTAAGTATAAATCTGTGTCGTTTCATGTAAGGAAAATTACGAGAACCTTTTCATTGCAATATATGAAAACATAAAGATATTGTAAAAAAGTACCATGAAAATAAGAATTATGTATTTAAAAAAGCCCAACTTTTAGACTTTGGTGGCTGTTTTATTCTGCAAGGCCTTCAGAATTTTCAGGTTATTTTGGATAGTAATTTTAATGGTCAATATGTTTGATACAAAAATCATTTAGCCTTATTTCATTGTTTACATAATTCATAATGAGGATAATATCTTCACCAATTCTGGTATTTCATTATATCTAATGAATAAAGAACATTGATATTTCTTACTGATACATTGATTTAATTAAAATTTTTACAAAATTGTCATTTTTAACCAAATTGTACTCTGAAGGAACAATTATTCTCTAAATGTATAAAAAATTTAACTGCTTTTTAAAGTTTTAATAAAAATATAACAAAGTACTTCTGACAAAATATTTAATGTTGTGAAAATATATTTATTCTATTTCCTTGTTAAAGGTATCTTTTGAATAATTGAACTCGAGCATCCTAATCTTATTGTAATGAACCTTCTTGTGACACCATCTTCCTAAGACAACCACTTCTAAAAATGACCAGTATTCTTGAGAACATAAATAATAATCATTATTGAACATCACTTCTCTAATATGACCATCTCCACAGAAGATCAAAATTCTCTGGAATTAGCAACAGTTGCTTTAGAGTTTGCTATATTTGGAATTTTTTAATAATGGTGAAGACTTCTTCAGTGTTTACATTTTCTTTTTTAAAGAAGCAGAAATTTTTTTAGATAAAGTCGATATTTTAGCTTACTAAACAAAAAATATATAAAAAAAAATCTATTAACTATTGTAAAAGAATATTCATCTAATGATTATGATATATGGTCTCCGCACAACACACAATGATAGTATTCTTCTGAATGATTTTATGCATCTTAATCTCAGATACACTAGCTTTCATTAGTCAATGCTGGAACTTTATTTTCTTCTTTGATGGTCAAAGTTAAATGAAGTTTGATTTAATTTTGACCATCATTATTTATATAAACAGTATCTTTCATATAAAAATGTGTATTACAACTATTAATAAATTGATATTTTTCTTTGTTTAATTTTTTATAAGAACATTAAAAGCAGCTTTTAAAGCCTACATAATATCAAATGTACAAACTTTATATCATAATTATTATTGAAGACTTGCTATTTAAAGGACATTTGATAAGGTACAAGTTGAAAGATATCAAATTTATTGTTAAAACAGCTTACAAATCTGCAGTAACATTTATGAAAGCAAGACAAATTGCAAAATTGAATAAGTTTAACTATATTAAACATTTGAATGATGACTATCTATGGATGTGAACTTTTAGGTTTTTTTATTGAAAAACTATTATTCACAAACACTTATAATAATATAAAGAATAAGAAATCATTGTAATTTAATTTTTTCACTATTTTTATGACATTTTGTATTGAGACAGAGTTAAAAAAAATCTCTGAATTGAATCTGGTGATTTGAAGTTGGATAGCATTTTTTACCATTATGATATTTTAATCTCTTTATTGCTCATAATAGTGCATTATTTTTTTGGCTCCATTATAATTGACTTAATATAATTTGTAAAACTATTTGTGCAAGTTAAAAATTTACAGATCTAAAAGAATTCTTAAATTTTTCTTTGAATTGAATATAGTATTTGAGATAATATTGTATACTTTCTCGGAAGTTTTCATACAGCAAAATTCACAAACTGTTTTTTTTTTTTTTTTTTTTTCTTTTTTCCTGGGAGCGGAGCAACTTTTTGAAATTAAAGATCAACATCACATAATTTTTACATGTGAGTAAGTTTAACCAACAGTCTGAATGAATATAAAAAATGCAACTTACTGATGAATTTAATGACAGGAACAGTTTTTAGGACAAGCTAGAATTTTTAAGTTTTCTTATTTTTCAGTCAATATTGTTACTGGTTAAGAGTTATATTAAACTAACATTTGAAAGTGATGGGTTATAGCAAGATCTAGTAATTTAATTAAAGCACAAAGAATAACTATTTTGCACTTTTGTCAGTGGTTGTATTTAATTAATGGTACTCTTTATCCCAGCCGTACTAAAATTTGAATTTTAAGTTAAGGAATGTCATTAAAAAGCATCTTTATAAATTGCCTAAAATCAGACACATATGAAATAAGGAATTTCTTAAAATAATAATGAGCTTATGAGGGAAAAAGTAATGCATGGTGTTGATTCGTAACTGTTCGTAAGTGCAAAACACCACTGGAATGGGTATAAAAAATAATGAAAAAAAGATACATAATCCATGAACCAACAGAACACAAAATTTAAACTTTTCTAGATAATAAAAGTATAATAAAATTAAAAACATAAACAGTTATGAAAATAAATAATACAAAATATAACAATTATGTTCTGTACAAATATTTTTGAACCATTATATAAGAAGTTTTTATTCAATTAACCACATTAAAATAATTTGTTCAGAAGACACTTTACTTCTAACTGAACTCACAGGCCATTTTTTAATATACCATCTTACATATAATATGACCACCATACAAAAATATAAATTTTTGCTCCTCAATATTTAATACCAGTTAAAATATTAAACACTGCAAATATTTAAAAAATATATACAAAACAGTTTTTTTCGCTTGGTAATTGATGAAAAAATAAGATACATTTCAACAGTTCTTTACTTCTTTTCCTGTTGCTCAAAGTATTTTAATAATGATTTTAATACTGAAAAGAGAGCAGGTAGCACTTTACTAAAACTGTGGAAAATGAAAATTAGTTTTACTTTTAAGCAAAACTTAATGATGAAACAAAATTCATGGATTTTATAGATGAATATTTACGTATTAGAACACAAATTCTTCACTTGCAGAAGCACACAAAAATCACAGCACACGTTAAAAAATATATGCCTTGATAAATTTCATCTACTTCTCTCACAGATTATTATTCTCTTAAAAATATCTGAAAAAAAAAATAAATAAAATAATGAAATGCATATGTATTTTAGTGCTTGCAATTAAAAGTTTAAAATATTTTATGACTCATTTGCTAGACAAAAAGTTAGAGTAAATAAGCAACCCTTTCCAATTTATATCAAAATTGCAAAAGTTTTCTCATTTTTAGTACAAAGGCTTAACTATATTCCGTAGAAAATCTTGATGCAAATAAAATTATATTAAATTAATATTTAACTATAAAAGTATCAGGGATGACTGATGTAATGATTCAGGTATCAAAATAAAAATCATATTTGCTTACCTCATGTGAAGAATAGAAGTTACACTTTAGGAGGCTGTTGTTGTATTTCAATTTTCTCTACAGTTAAGTTAGGATTCATTAGTGTTGCTTCATGAATGGCTTCAGCTAATGCTTGATCATGATCAATTGGGTCTCCATCACTGTGAATAGTTATTTTCTTTTCCACACGCGTTTCAATTACTCCATCTTTTTCAGTTTTGTACTAAAATATGAATATGATATAAAAATTGTGCTTTTCATGATCACTGTTAGATAATAAATAATATTTTTGTATAATGTACTAATACTTGGGATTTTCAAATAAGTAAATGAAATTTGAAAACAATAGTGGTACTTAAATTTATGCTTGGGAATTTAACTAAGACTTTTATTTTCATATCAGATGAAATTACACACAATGTGTTTATGTTTAATTTTTTATTTATTTAAAAATTTTAAAAGGACAGAAAATTACGTTTATTTAATGATTTCAAACAAAGATTTTATTTTAGGTTAAAATAACATGCTGAATAATGAGTACTGGAGAAGTCAAACAACAGGAATCAGCATAAGATTAGAACCATCGAAATTAGTCCTGAAAAAATTTACAAATCTTATGTTGATTCTTGTTTGATTTCTCCAATAATGATTTTATTGTTAACATATACATAAAGAACAGCAGTTCATTACAAGCTGATTTTTTTTTTTTTTTTTTTTAAATAATGGTGAAGATTCCCCCCTCCCATCTCTATATTCAATTTTCTTTAAATGGATTGCCTTTCAGATTGGAATGTTTGACAAAACCTATTATATGGAAGTTTTTTCTTCTGCAATTAAACAGAGATAATTTTCTCAAAACATAAATTATTTCTTTATATTAGACAAGTTGCGTAAAAAATATTGAAGTTTCTTCTTTCTGTTCTACATTATGTTGGCATAAAATATGTCTTTAATGTTAATTAGTAACAAAATACTTTGATAGGTAAAAATTTAGAATATGTGAATAAATTAAACAAATTAAAATTTAGATAGATATTATTGATAACAAGAAGAGGCAAAGACACAATCTTATACTCAAATTTATCAATGAGCAACATGGAATATTATGAACAGAAATACAAATGAAGGAATTATTTGAAGTAGAGATTTTACAACTTTTGAAGCACATATGTTAAGTTTGAATTTGTACAAACCATCATTAGAAATATGTATCTAAATCCGCTTACTAGACAAGTCTGCAACAATAATTTTAAGTACCATTATATGAATGTAACTACTAAATGTTTTGGAAAAAATTATAAATATTTTTACAAACAATATTACATTATTAAATTAATAACAATCGAGAGAAATTAGCAATTGCTAAAAAGTATCATTTTTCATATTTAGTGAAAGTAAATGCTTGTTGCAAAAGAAACTGGAATTGTATGGTTAAATAACAAATCTGTGGTTTGTCAAAAAATCCTTGAACAAGAAAATAAAAGACAGCAATGAAAAGATGGTTTTGAATTTTTCCATTTATTTTCCAAGGATTAATAAATTATGCTAGGATATTCTTCTTTAATGAGAACATTCTTAAAGAAATTAATTTTATCATACTCATTGATACTGGAAGACAATTATTTATTTCACTTTGCAGCTCTCAGTTACTGTTATAAAACTATTAACATTAGTTTTATAACAGTAAGTAGCTGAAAAAATCTTTGGTATATTCAATAGTACATATTTTTGTAACAAATATTTATATTATGTTTCAATTTCAGTAATAAATATATGAAATTAACAAACATACTGTTATAGTTTCAACTGTGCGTGTTTTGCTAGATACAGACGAAGTGTTCAAAATATCTTCCCCCAGTAAAGATGTGTCTAAAGGCAAAGGTGATGGAGAGGCACTAGATGAGTGGCTGAATGAATGTCCTGGTGACTTTGGGAGTTCTGTCGTGTAAAATACTTTACAAGTCTCAGTCTCCACAACAGGAACATAAGTGGTGCTTTGTGGATTGCAGGGTTTATTATTAGGGCTATACATCACAGGTTCTGTTCTTACTATGGCAGACTATGGAAAAATAAGAGAATAACATTAGTTTAAAAAAAAGAAAAAAGCTGATGTTAGGCTATCTAGAGATGCTTTGAGTCCAATTTTTAAGCAATGGGATTCATAATTCCCTCTTAGGTTTCAGACATTCACAGTGCAATAACTGCTACAAATGCAGCGAAATGTTGTATAGCAATACATAATAAATCTCGCCAAATTCTCATGACAAACATGATTACATGACAGAGTCTATCTTTACAGGGCCCTGTCCTGTAATTTTAGATTTAGCCACTTGGCAACAGTATAATGCGTGCATGGCATTCTTTGTAACATAAAATACATAACCCCCCCCAAAAAGCAATCCAAAGGTTACTGGATTATAAAATTTGTTAAATACTAGTCAGTTGTGATTTGACTGCCTGTCCAAATGAACAGAGTGACAGGGACCGAACTACGCTATGTTTACTAGGAAGGCACACATCAAACACCCAGACACACTCTTTATGTACTGATATTTACATTTTTGCTGTATTTGTTGCAATATGTGCTAATAATTTTTTGAAATTCTGGTAGAATTGTGAATCCTCCTATGATATTCATTCATGGACAGTAAATAGATGTCCTTCTACAGTTGAACAGTAATTAAAATACAGTTAAACAGTAATTCTCACATAATACTGGATAAATACTGCATGACTTTTGGCATTTAAGTGTAAAACATAAAGATATTAAATGAATTAAATATATATTTGATAATAATCTCCATAATTACATGAATTACACGAGTATAAAAATCATATACATGCAAACAATTTTTATTAAAACATTTAAGATAAATATTTAAAACTGGATATTAATCTGGAGAGAGAAAACTAGATGGATTATTTTTTCCACAAAGGAAATTAGCCAGTGTATAGAATGACCAATATAATCTCTATGAATCAAGCAGAATATACGTTGGATACATTTGGTAGGTTTAATGGCATCCCATCAGTCCTGACCAAAGGCTCACTCTAGAGGTTTGAATTGTTCTTTAGGAATAGTTCTTATTTAGTCACAGACCTGTTAGACTTTCTTGACTGTTTTCCTATCTTGTTCATTTGCGGTTTTGCAGCTGAAGATGATGGTTCAGTAAAACCATCGAAACTAGTCCTGTGAAAATTTTGTAAATTAACGCTGATTTTTGTTGTTTGACTTCTGAATTAGTACTGTTAGACTTTCTTAAGAAATTTTTGGAAAGGCCATGCATGTCTGCAAAGGTTTAGTATATCTTTATCATAATGTACCAACTGTTGTTCACTTTTATGCATTGACAACACGAATTGTGTTTGATTTTTTAAAAATAATTTGAATTATTTTTCTGCTGTTGTACTTGCAGTATGTTGTAACACTTATATTCAGAATTCCATTATTCAAAAGTTTGATCCTGGAGATGGTCAAAATAATACTGGATAAATACTGCATACTTATGGGTTATGCTTAACTTCTGAACACCAGTATGATTCATGTAAATTGTTGTATATACTTTTTTTTAATGCATTTAAAGTTCTCATGTTCAGTGGGAGATTAAGAAATTTTTCAAAAGTTTATTTATAAAATCATCATAATAAAAATTGTAGTACATTTATTAAAATGAAAACAGTAGTTAAGTTTTCTGGATTAGACATATAAATTTATTACTCTAAATTAATATTATTATTTTAAAAAGTGAATGAATTGAATGTGTATTATAATAATACACATTTAAGTGTCATAATGAGAGCACTATACAAATTTTCATATTATGCTTGTATGACTTAAAATCTTGAATAAATATTAAGAGTGTAATCAATAGTCACTCTCCTGAGTCTAGGCAAAACAGCTTCAAGTAATTGCCCAATAAATATTATTGCATTTAAAATTCAGAATGATAGTTGGTGTTCAACAAATGAGATATTCAGTTTCTGAAGTTCTCAACATTCAACCATTTTCCATTCATGATATCATGAGTTTACCCATATTGGACAATGTAGTAGCCAACTGTGACTTAACAACACTGGCCAATAACATTCAATACTACCTTCACTTATAGGCAAATGATACTTCCTATAGCCATTAAGAAATCAAAAAAGCATATCTAAGAAAAGTAAATGCAGTGACATTTAGTGTTAATTGTTTATAGCAGCAGAAGCTTGTCTACAATAGCCTTTCTAAAAACAGGTCATCAAGCATGGTGCTTCATATTAGCTTGTGAACAACTAATTCCAGCCTAAAAAACTGGAAAAAAAAAAAAATTGCTTGCTTTGTAATAGTAATAGGTAATTAATAGTATAAGTTGTTACAAGCTGATGGTTGGAGTCCAGTGTGGTTTAGTAATCATGTTTCTATGGGCTCAGATTGTAAGCAAAGTATTTTGCGAGTTGGTGATATTTCCAGAATAGTGCGGGATGTGATTTAACCCTTTAACGCGCGCAATATTATTTTTATAATTTTTTTAACTAAAAACTCTAGAAATTGAATATTATGATCCTAGAGACAAATAATATATCAATTTAAAAAAATCTACTCTTGCCCATTGTTTTGTGGATGGTGGTCGCAATGTGAAACCACAGCGTGTCTAGGACTTTGAAACGTACCTAGGTAGTAGGAAAAAAAAACTTACCTTTCTCCGTGCGCGTTTCCAATAAATGACGAAATTTATGAATTTAAAAAAAAAAGAAATGCATGTAAGAACTACATATTATATATATTTTTTACATTATTTTACAAACTAAATCGTCAGAAAAAATTAAAAAATAAACATTTATGTAATTTTTTTTATAGCAGTGAAAGTATAAGTACCTACATAATAAGGACGTTTGGCTACATGGATTAAAAAAAAACAGTACAGGGTTCGTAGCGGTCCTTATAAGTGCTTATAAGTCCTTATATTGAAAATAAAAAATATAAAAAGGCTCTTATAGGTGCTTACTTTTTTTTTTTTTTTTTTTTTTTTTTTTTTTTTTTTTTTTTTTTTTTTTTTTTTTGTTTTTTTTTTTTTTTTTTTTTTTTTTTTTTTTTTTTTTTTTTAAAGCCCTTATTTTTTTTTTGTTTTAGTGCTTATTTTTTGCTTTTAGTGCTTTTTTTTTTTAATGAACGCGCTATTTTTCCCGGTACCAAAGCCGAAACTAAATAAACAACTTTTCTTCCTAATGTGGAATGTCAAGATGGTGAATCATACTCCCGGAAATAGCTTTTCTTTTCCCCTTTCTCTGCATTAACATAACTTTTGGTGTGCACGAAGAGTAGAGACAGGTGCCCCGTCGTTCTATTGGTCAAAGAAATGCGAAAGTAATAAATAAAGGGAAAGTAATCGAATAGTCAAAATAATTTTGTTTTTTTGGCCAATACATTATACAGTACGAAGATTGGGAGGTTCTCCCCTTTCTCCGCAAAATCTCGAATATTGAAACTGTTACAGCTCGCTGCAAAACAAGCAACGGACTTTTTTTTTTTTTGGTCACTTCCAATCTGGATTGAATAGGACTAAAAGTTCTGCGGTCTGTCTACCAACCCAAGCGAAGAATGATTCTATTCTGGAAATTTAACGCCGTCTGTTGAAAATTAGAATGAAAAACACCCCAGTTATTTAGTTCTTTATTCTCCCAATACTGGCAGCTGTTGATTCCGATTGCGTAATATCACGTAGGGAAGAATTACGGCGCACGTATTGCGCAATAACGCTTGCAATATTTTGCAGAGATAATTAATTTTGATGTTTTGTCCGAGATTTGTTTATGAACACTTAAAAGAGTTTTACTGTGCCTGCTAAGCAGAATATTTTTCAGTTCCATTGGTTTATTTTTATATGATGCGCATATCGAAATGTCAAAAGCATTTATTTAGCGGAAAAATTTAAAGAGCGGCTACAGTCTACCCCCCCCCTCCGCTCCTCTTTTTCAAGTTACGCAATGTTTTTAATTTAAATAAAACTTTACGCGATTTCTACTTTTAATTACACAAAGTATATTTACATTAAATTTAAACCGCAGGAAATAATTTATAAAATCACAATACTAGCTTGGGGAGCAAGTGTGTTGAGGTCAGAGAAAAATCTCTGGAAAAGAAACACCTTTTTACTGGGCAAGTGCATGTATTGTTTAGTAATAAAATAACTTTGTGATTTCAAAACCCCTTATCTATATCCGGGTAAAAATAAACATTCCTATTTGAGAAGCAAGCAAACGCCAGTGATTCTGAAGAGCAGTGACCACCGATTTCTAGAGGATTTAAGCATTGTGACACAATGCTCTAGTGGTGCAGTGGTCGCGCGCTGAAACCACAAAGCAAATGCCACATAAATAGAGGTTTTTTTTAATATACAGTCAAAAGTCGTTAATTCGGACACCCATAATCCGGAATGATCTATAATCCGGACCTCAAAGCTACAAACTTTCTGCGCATGCGTCGCGTTCACGCATGCGCACAGGCGTTAACGAGAGCGCGTAAGACCCTTACGGCTGCGAATATGTTTGTGCACATGCGCGTTTAATGTGTAACGGAGTTATACGCTAAGCTAAAGTTATCTAATTCAGTTAATGTTGCAGATTGCGTTGTTCCTTAATCTTCGAATTGGATCCGGCTTATTATTTTTTGCAGACTGTTAGAGCAATTTTATAAAAGTAAGCTTGAACTTTCGATTATGTCAAATAGAATTTCCGATATATATTTACTACAACGCGAAAGTATGTTTTGAAATCCGAAATCTGTTTATCAATTTCACGCTGCTCTGCGGCAGAGGGGGGGGGGCAGAAACGTCATTATTAGATTATGATAGATTAGAAAGATTATGTCAAATAGAATTTCCAATATATATTTACTAATATGTAATTTGTATCTACAAAGCGAAAGTATGTTTTGAAATCCGAAATCTGTTTATCAGTTTCACGCCGCGGATTGGAAGTTGATCTGTCAACACTATCCTTATCTTCAGAGCAGATGTTTTTATTTTATTTGGATTATAATTCCGTACTAAGTTTAGTATTTCATCTCGATGTACTCCGTCTTTGATATGATTTAAATCAAGTTCCTCGTCATTATAATTCGCTTCCGATAGTGAAGAAAGTGACCCAGAGGTTATTGAAAACGAAAACATTTCGATTGACAAATTAGTCGGTATTCTCAACACAGCAATTATAGGACTTGAACAGCGGAACTTTGTAACTAAACAAGAAATTATGTCTGTTTAATAGAATTAAAGAGAAAGTATTATCACATGAAACGAAGCAACTTACATTGAAGGAAATGTTTAATAAAGTAAATAAATAAATATTAAGTTTTTTCTTTTTGTAAATTTTGATACCCTTTAGATCATAATTGTTCTTTATTTCATAAATTACGGTTTCATATTTTTAATTTTGTAGTTTTTGCATGCCATCTTACCAGATTTAAACTGATGATCTATAATCCGGAAAAATCGATAATCCGGAATCGACGAGTCCGGATTAACGACTTTTGACTGTATGCAGTTTAATTATTGCTATTTTTTAATGTTTATGATAGAAATCATGATGTGCGATGAATAACTTGAAATTTAAAGTTGTTTATATTAATAAAAGGAAGTTATTTTGTCTCATTGAAAACGAATTTTAAAAAGCATCCGATTTGAAATACTAAGACCTGAAACATGTATGATTCTGCAGTCATTTTGTGTTATTTTAGAGGTAAAAGATCAGTAATCAATTGATTTTCACTCAAAAATTTTGGAAGGAAGAGGAGAAAAAAATTCGAAAATTGGTGGTTTCAGGGCGCGACCACCACGCATCAAAGGGTTAAATGTAACACAGGGCGGTAATATTTGGTGGCAACAATTTGAAAAGTGAAATGGACATTTAAAGTTTTCGATGCAAAATGCCCAAACAAAATTAATAGCCCTTTTGGGCTAACACCCTTTGGGCTAAAAAAAAAAAAAAAAAAAAAGGAATGGGTCGGATTTTAACGTTGCCCAAAAGAAATCGTTTTTTCCACGATGTCAGCTCCTCTAATTCTGACGCTTGAATTGTTTATTTTATACGACGTTTGGTTTCTAGACCAATATTCTTCGTTATTTAGATTTTGTTCGTACGCGTAACTTTTTCGGTCGTTTTTCACGTGATAAAAGCTTTTTCCTTTTCGATTAGCTGATGTTGACACATCTCGTTATTTGAAAAGTAATACGGACATCGAAAGTGATTCGATGAAAAATTGAGGTTCGAGGCTAGGATTGATTGATCCGCTCCGGAGTGGATTCAGATCACTTTACTTTACTCCGATTCCGGAAAATGTAACTCTTTTACAGTTTACGGAGAGCTCTAGTTGACAGAGTGTTAGGAATATATAGATCTGTAATTGGATTCGGGGAAAAAAAAAAAAAAAATCTGAAATGTTTCAGATTTTAAATTACGTCCAAAG